CTACGTGCCTCTAGGGGTGGCATTCCATTTCTGGAGGTAATACAGCTTCTCAGTTACTGCAGCCTTGAGCACCTATAGAACTTAATGTCACTCCTCAGCACAAACTTAAAGCAAGTATGGATGTATTCTGGGCAGACTTAGGTAAGATCTGGACCAGGAGCATATGGGTTTTAATCAACACTTGGGCTTTCACAGTGATTTTTAACTAGCACAGAAAGTTAGGGTCACGAGCCACAAGGTTCTTCAGCTCTTTCCTTCCCCTGCCCCCCATGACAACATTAGAAGTGGGCAAATGTCTGTCTGCTTGTACCTTTAGTGAATCCCCTGCTGCAAGGAGAGTTTTTCCACCACAGAACTGTCCTTGCAACTGCCCTTGGTCTGGAGAAAGGCCAGAGGGGTCACTTGTTGGTGGAGCATCATGACAGCTGCTCAGGAGCCAGCCGGTCACCTGCTGCCATTTGGGTTTTCCTTCCTCCCACTGCATGGTCAGACCCGCAGTTACAAAACCACAGGCTCTGCCCTAAATCTTCCCTCAGCAAATGCCAACAGGAAGATTGTCATCCCATGAGTATTTGGCTGGAAGGGACCTTTGGAAGTCACATCCCATCCTCCTGGATGATTGCTAAATCAGGTCTGCTGTGGCTTTGTCCAGCAGAAACTTGAACCCCCTTGAAGGATGGAGTTTCTGCCAATCACTCTGGTGATCTGCCCCAGGGCTGCACATTTTCCCCATGATGAAGATTTTCCCAACATCCCAAGCCCCAGTTTGTGATCTTTGCCTCTTATTACACCATCTCCCACCACCAAGGAGAGTGTCATCTTTTCAGATGCCCTTCAAGAGACTGGTGGATACTGTTACATTTACCTCCTGGTCATACCAGTACTTAGTTGCTAGCACTAGAGATGTGACACTCTTCACAAAGCAGTGGCCAAGAGGATCCTGCTGGAGGGTTGTGAGCACTGGGCACCTCCCAGCTGCTGTTGCCAGTATTTGCAAACAAGCCACATAACATCTACGCCAGTGGGTGTGTTACACAACCATGTGCCTTGAGTCAGAGTGCCAAGGGCAAGATTCTCTGCCAGGAATCTCTTAGGCCGCTGCTCCTTCAGTCCCCCTGCATCCCTCCAGGAGGGGAGGGATAGGAGATTGTGTTGCCTTCAACTCAGAGGTTCATCAAGCACCACCATGTAACCAAAAAACTACCAAACACGTAAAAAAAGACAGGAAGAATCGCTGAAGGATGTTTTTTTCCAAGACAAGGCTCAGCCATATCCATAGAAATCTTGTGCAAGGACATGCCAAAGGAGATTGCTGTGGAGCTAAGTCCAAACAAGCATCACAGTCCAGCGTTCAGCAAGTGCTCATGTGGGCATAATCACCATCACTCAGTGCTGTCCAATTTTAGTGACAGAGTTCAATTCCAATACATTCTACATTCAGCACAGAGGGGGAAAAGGAACCTCAGCCATATTTAAAATAAGAACACAGTAGGTCACTGAAGATGGGCAGCCTAGCTTCCTTACAAGCCAGCACCTAAGTCCTTTGGGCTCTTCTGATTTAGGACAAAATGACAGTGGCAAGAAGCTGAAAGCTACACATGAATGCTGATCAGTTCCTAAGGATAGCTGTACCTGGCTCTCCCTTCTCTTGTGTGTACAAACTGCCTCCCCAACCCAAATAGGTGCTGGAGGCAGGGCCCCAGTTCATGAATCCTTTCCAGCCCTGATGTTCCTTAAATGCCTTATTTAGTTGCTCCTGCAGAAAAAGGGGAAAATAGCTATTTGGTGTGTCCTTGACAAAAAGAGATTTTAATAGGATTCAGAAAGATTTAATAATATTCCCCAGGCAGGATTGGGCTGCATTTTATAGAGAAGTCAGATCCCAAGGGTGTGTAATTCCTGCCTCACAGAAAGCAGTTGTCTCAGGTTTCCAGCAAAGCATTACATTGCGATTTGCAGAGGGTGAATTTTATGGGGTTTTAGTGAAGTGACCTAGAAAAGGCTGTGAGGCTCCACTTATCTCTGGATACCTAAACAAGGATGTGATGCTCAGCTGCCAGATAAGAGTTTGCTTCAGTGATTCATTGATTTGCAGTGACTTAAACAGAGCTGTTTGCTTTGTGAGTCAACATTTCACAATATTTGGGTGCAGGACCTGATCCCAACCACCCTGATGAAGTTGTTTATGGATAGGAAGAGATTCTTACAAGACTGGCGTTGACTTGATACACTAATTTTAAAATGGTATCTTTCTGTGACCTTCTAACTGCAATAATCCTAATTGCACTTAGCCAGCTGAGAGGATGATGTCACAATGCTGACAAATGGGCAAAGGATGGGATGGTTTGACTGCACTACTGTGATCCTGGTAAATTAATTTCATGGCCTTGTGCCTTGTATTCCTGCTTGTGAAAGTGGAGGGAATTAAAACCTCATTGCTTCCCCAGTGTGCTTATGCTGCCTCTTCAGATGATAACTTTTCAAGACAGGACAATGCAAAGCAAAGCACAACCCATGAAGAATACTAAAGCAATAATCAATACCATGCATTTTTTTACATCAGTTTGCAAAAGTGATTCGCTGGTTGTAAATTGCTGTGGGCTCATGGCAAGAATTGCAGAGAACTCTGGTTTTCAGAAATAAGAGGAAAACTACTTTTATAGGAAGGACTTACAGATGGTCAGTAAGCAAAATAATCTTACTGATTTGTTTCTTACAGAAACAAAGCAATTAAATAAAATCCTGAAGTGCCTTATTTACAGTAATGGGAAAATAAATCAAAGTGAGAGTTATTAATCTGAGACATGTAGGATTAAAAGAAATTTGGGAAGATAAAAGGAAGAAACACAGAGATAGTTACAGTTTGGTTAAAACAGCAGAGCTCGTTTTACCCATCACATGCCCTGAGCAAAGTTCAGCAATAAACCAGGGGCTTGGTTTGAGAAAGAAGGACATTTTCTTTTTCTAACTCAGGTGTGCTCATAAAAAAGGAATTATGTTTGCCCTGGGAATTACTTATTTCTGGTGTGCTCACTTAATTCTTTTAGGTTGCCAGTTGAAGTGCTGTGGATCACATGGAAAGACTCATTACTTGTCTAGTGAAAAGGATGTGAAAAGATCCATAACTGATTGATGTCTGCTTCCCACCAATTTCCACTTAAGCAACACTTTAAACTAGGTCAGAGCATTAATTTATTTTTGTATGAAATCTCTCCTCAGTCCATCCAGACTCCCATTGGCTAGTTAATTAAAATCAGCACCATTATTTGGCTGCTACTTTGCAGCAAGAAGAAAAAGCTAGTAATTATCCACTGGGGAATAAATTAATTAGGTTACTATGTGTTAATGCTCAGCAGCTCTCTTGTAGCTAGCAGCCAGAGTCCTTTCTGTCCTGCCTGGGTTTTTGGAAGGTAACTGGGTCACAGGAACATGTGCCTTGGCTTCAGCCTTCGCTGTACTTCCTCTTGACAAATCTTTGTTGAACATAATCTCCTTAAAATAGAGGCTGTTTCTTCCTGCCTTCTTGTTGGAAACTGACTCCCTGAGCACCTTACAAGGACCTTGGAAAAATTTGACTTCATGCTGGCACTGAGCTGAGCTTTCCATTCTGGAGCAGCCTCCAGAAAGCCAGGCAGGGCTCCTCATGAGGCTTTGCTGGTCACCCACTGCAGGTTCCTGCACAGCTGTGCCCCAGATGCCTATTGCTCATGGGTATTATCCCATCGAGGTGACACCCATCACACCTTGCCTGGGTGCAGTGCAGCAACATTTAGGCAAGAATCTGATTCCTGTTTTGGGGTAGGTCTGTGCCACTCAACGGGCAAAAAAGTGCTGATGCTCACTAATTCTTTGAAAGAAAATCCAATGCCAATAAAATGTCACTTACATCATTACTGATGATTTCTACTATGGAAATGCAATTTCATACTTTGGATGTATGAGGAAGAGCTGAAGAGATCAAACAAGATAATTGCCAAGGTAGTAAAATCAGAGAGAACATGGCAAGCAGATAGGTTGAACTAGGGTTAAAAGGAAAGAAATTCTCCCCTAGCTGGCCACCAGAAGAATTTCCCTGCAACAGAAGGAACTTGCCTGTGTTGTACCAGAAAACTCCTGGTGTTTGAAGTCATGCATTTTGTGCTGACAATACAGGTTTTTGTACAATACAGGTTTTAGTCCTAAAGCCAAGCACCATTTTCTCAGTTATTTACATTATACCAGCAGTATCCATAGGGATATGCCATTGTGTAGCACCTCTGAGACTGAGTGCCACAAACCTGCAAGCAAATCCTATAATTTTGTCTTTGTAAAACCATTCCCAGTGATAACTTAATCCCTAATGCCAACATTCTTTCTTTCTCCTCTGTAGGGAAAATTGTTGGCAGCTTTTTTCAAGCCAGCCTTCATACCCCATGGTTCCTTTTCTATCTCTATCCAAGATACTGCTGTTGTTAGAAGTTCCAAATATGGTGCAGTATTTTGTCTGGGAAAATAATAGAATCATGCCTATTCTTTGCAATCTGAGTATGATTAAAGACAAATGAGGCTCCTTCCAAACCCTCAGCTCTCATGAACTCTTCATCTGTCTTCCAATTTTAAGATTTTGTCAATCTGTATCTACCTCTAGTTTATCTGTAGTTTCTGCAAGATGCAATCACATCATGAGATAAAGAAGCCACAATGATTACATACTTAGAAGGAAAAAACACAGTTGTAAAACACTGATTTATCCTAGAATTTGTTATCTTAAGACAACAGTTGAAAGGTAATGTCTGATGTAAACAATGACAATTACTACCTCCTGCCTTTTGAATTCTGGCAATTGCAGTAAAAGAGGCTTTTTACTGCTTGTAAAATAATGCATAGTAGTTTAGTGCTTATAAAGTAGCCGTGCACACTGAGATATAAAGCACCCAAACATCATAAAATAGAGGTAAGATCTCAAATCTTCTGAATTTGAAAGGTTACACACTTATATTGGCCCTGTGGGCTTTACTGACCTGTGACAAGGACTGGTTCCTTTCCTTCCCTCACACCAGTCTCTACAGTGTTCCCAACCCTTGCCCTCCTTTAAAGAGGCATTCAGTGGAGAAGTCACTTAATCATTGATGGATACAGATGCTGGATCAGGCCTTTAGCAAATAAAAAAATCACTTATTGAGTTGGGGACAGCTGAGTGGAGTGTAGGGGTTTATGGACATGCTTTCCAGCTAATAATTTATTCCCATGGATAATCCTCCATCGTGCAAATGGTCCCACTGAACACAAGGATTACAGTTAAGGGCAGCAGGATGAAACCCTGAGATAAGATGCACAGTAAACAAAGTATGATATTAAAGCTATTACTTAATGTGTACTAATAGGCAGCTAATGAAGTCAGGATGGCTGTGAGTCACGAAGCTTCACTGCTTCCTGAGCTTATCAGAAAACTGTTCTCAGTGCAAAGCCAGAGTGCCATTTTTAAATATAGCTACTGTCCATAAGCTGAGGCTGGGACCTATCTGTGACTGCACAACTAGAGGTGACAATGTCACCCAGGGCGTAAAGTTTCAACAGGAGGTCAGTGCTTTCTGTTCAAGTCACTCTGCCTGCTGTCCTCTCAGCTAGTGATAAGTTTGCTTTATGCTTTTAACATGCTTAGTTTCTTTTGCCCAGTACCCTGAGAAAAATCAAGGTTTACTTATCTAGGCAGTGTGTTTATATTTTCCAGTACATTCTGAATCCATACACTGGTTTTGGACTATATTAACAAAGGGGCAAGGCCATGGGAAAATGCATCATGAGGCTGTCCCATGTCATTTGCAAGCCAGATTCACAGCACCTGAAGGGATGCAGGATCTGCTGTCTATCTTTATTCCTATTTTCATTCTACTGTATTACAATACCTGTTTTATTATGCCCCTTGTTCTTGGGGTTTTCTTATTGAAATATGGAAAATCCATGCACCATCTTGTCCACTTACCATCCCAGAGGTGCAGAGCAGGATCTTGGTCACGTAGGACAGAAGGTGCACAGGCAGGACAGGAGAGGCAGAGCTCATGTGCCACTTCTGAGGGAAAACCTGCTGTACAAAATCAGCCTTTAAAACACACAAGCGGGAAAGAGATACTGACAAAAACTTTTCTACTCCAGAATCGGTAATATTTCATTTTAAAACATTTTGTGAAAGGTGCTGCAACTCAGTTGATAAATACAAAACCATCTCTGAGTGGTGAAGGCATTTTGTGGAAATGCATCAGTTGGAAAAACAAGATATCTTTGTTTTATCTCTACAATAGTTTGAAAAATACTTTCCTTGTTGGAAAAAACAGGATTTTCTGAATACTTATTTTTGTAGAAACATCTGCCGTGTGGGAAGTTATTTGAGCAAAAAACATACCTCTTTATTTATATAAGAAAGTTCTAAAAGTCTGAAGCATGTTGCAAAACAAAGCAAAGAGAAATAAACAGGAAATGAGTGACCAAGTAGTCACAACCTTTTAAGGTCAATTGCCCTTGCTTTGGATTTAAGTTGAACTCTTTCCCAATGTGTATTTTTTTCAAGGAATTTTCCCCTCTCTCTTTTTGCCTTTTTTTTTTTTTTTTTTTTTTTTTGGTGAGTCCTTTTCCTTTCCTGCTGTAATTGAATTACTCCCTTTTTTCCTCTAGATGGTTTGAAAACAATTGTCACTCGGTGTGACAATGCCTATGCATAAATCACAAACTGTGCTTCAGAATATGTCAAACCCTGGTTCATTTACTGTCTTTCCAATCACTTTGATTCGATTCAGCCTGATCCTTGGTATGGTTCAGGATCCTTTGCAGAAGACCCATTGGATAAAGGAATTAGAAAGCTCACCTAACAGTTTGTTGAGGTGAGGCTGTTTCCTGTCTCAGAATCATCCTGCTCCATGCTCCATTCAAAATCCTCCCAGTAATTCCATCCCTGGGATTTTGCAGGTACCTCATACACCCATTCCCTAGAAGAGTCCTCATTCAGGCAGCATCTAAGAATCTCCACAGATTTTGACTGCATGCACACAGTCCTGAGATCTGCTGAAAAAGAGGTTTCTGCCCTTTGATTCTCAGTATTCATTAGTTTGGAAGACCTTATTGTGGCCTTTCAATACTTGAAGGAGGCTTGTAAGAAACATGGAAAGGATGGAGTCCTTTTACCAGGGCCTGTAATAACAGGGCACAGGGTAATGGTTTTCAGCTGAAGGAGGGGAGGTTTAGATTGGACATCAAGAATTAGTGAAGCACTGGAACAAGCTGTCCAGAGAAGTTGTGGATGCCCCATCCCTGGAAGTGTTCAAGACAAAATTGGATGGAGCTCAGAGAACCCTGATCTAGTGCAAGGTGCCCCTGCCCATGACAGGATGAGATGGTCTTCAAAGCCCATTTCCAACACAAACCATGCTATAATTCTGTGTTCTTTAAAGCTTCCTTCCAACTCAAACCCTTCTGTGATTCTAGTTCCAGTGAACAAGGGTGAATATTTAGTCTCCAAAAAAAGTCCTTTGAGTTTCTTGTTATCCTTTTACACAACTTATGTTCTGAGCTCACAGGATACTGGAACTCTGGTTTAATAAAGTTAAAAACTGTTTCAGTTCTTGAGGGCTGTAACTATTTGTGGATCAATACTTTGAATGAAAACAGCAGAAATAATTACAGCTGCATCTTGTTCTAGAGGAGAGCAGGAAAACACCACAGGCATGCCATTAACATTGAGATAATTTCTGTGCTCATTTTACTCCTCAATGCTACGCATTCATCTGTACTTTAGAAATGTGGAAGTTTTATAGTGCCTAACTGGTCATAGTTCAATACTATCAGAGTTTAAAGGCAAATACCATTTCACCTTGGGAGTATGTGGGTGCTGTTTCTGGAGCAGCCTCTCTCTGAAACACAGTCTGAGCCCAAGGCAATTGCTAACAAAATTGGTGAGTGTCTCAGATCACCTCCCTGCAAACCAGAGAAGTGTTTTTGGCAGCCCAGAGAACTGCGAGTTGCAACAAAAAGGTACTTTCTGCCACCTCAAAACTGTGCCCCCTTTCCTGCCAGTGGCACCCTCAGGGAACTTGCTGTGTTCTGTGCTGCTCTGGGTTCAGGATGACCCATCAGCCTGGGACTGCAGCACTGCTCTTCCTCACCAGGAGCCTTCCCCACAGACTCTTTTAATCCTTATTTCACCCCACTCCTCAGCAGGGTCAGGTCCCTGGAGGAAGAGCTGCAATACAGCACGGAGGTTTTGCCCTTCTTCAGTGTTTCCAGCAAGAAGCAGTTTCCCTGGATTGTGAGCAGCAGCTGAGCTTTGCAGCTGCAATCTCGCTGCAGAGCTGCCAGCAGCACCAGGACAGAGGCACACACACTTAATTTAATCAGTCATTTATCTGTCTGGGGCCTGGCTGTGCTTTATCTGTGCTGCCCATGCACACAGGCTTGGAACCAGGCCAGTACTCCAGCACACTTGGATGTCTTTTGCTCCTATGACTGAGAGCAGCTGGGCAGGATTTTCAGTGCTTTTCTGTGGGACTTTTTTTCCACATAAAAGAGTGTTCACATCAGCCAACAGCCTGGCTTTGAGTTCTCACTACCTCACACCAGTTACAGCTTAGACTTTGCAGCTCTTATTTTGCTGCCTTTGGTCCTGGTACTCTTTTTTTTTTTTTTTTTTTTTTTTTTGGCAAAACTATCCATTGAACACTCCAATAGATTTTGTTTTGCAGTGTTTCAATAGTTTATCTATACTTGTCTGCAGTGAACCTGATAAACCAGTTTTTGCTGTCACACAAATGCTATGCATTGTTCAGCTGTACAATGTCTCTTTTATCACTGATCTTGAATTTTCATGGGGGTTGCTCTTAACTTTTAAAGCCTTGACTAAAAGGCAAATGGCAAACTTGTGAAAAGCTTCACATGGAGAACTGTCAGACTGTTCAGACAGCAAAGGATGCTGTCATCTTTAAAATTACATATACCCATATCTATCCTCAGAAGTTTGAAAATGAGAGTTCTTTCTTCTTCCCAGCTGGAAGAATAAGTGTCAGAATTACTCAAAAAGTTTTCTTGGTTTGTATCTTATTAACCTTTTTAACATTAAAAAAAAAAATAGTTTTTTGATATTCCCAATGCTGTGGGCAGAACAGGGATGTTTTGTTTACAACAGTTACTGGCTGAGCACAACAGAGAGAGCTAAGAAGACAGAGTAAGCATAAAGTAAGTGACATGCTCTCACATTTCCCCTCAGAAGTCCACTTTGAGGTGGCTCACTCTCTGTTTTAAACATCAATTGATCAATCTGCTTGAGCTGCTCTTTGTCACGACAAGCAGTTTACTAAAAGCTGAGGACAGCTCAGCTTCTGCCTGCTGATGTCCCCACTTAAACCAAGCCAGCTCCAACATTCATCCAACCTGAATTTGAATTGTTTCAGCCCACTGACTCAACACAGACCTAACCTCATTAAAAAACAACTAACCAACCAGCAACAAAACAAAACCCAAAGCAAACCCTCCCCACTTTCTGACAGAGAACTATCCTAGGTCAGTGTAAGGTTAGACAAGGGCCAGAGAGGGTACAAAGGGCAGGTAAGAGTGCAGGAGGAGGTGTAGCCAAAATGCTGCAGCCAGATGTTAGGCTGGCTTAAGGCAGGGACAACCTCAGCTTCTCCTCAGACTGAGCTTTGCTCCCAAGAAAGAAACTGTCTCTGTGGTATGGCTGCATTTCCAGGAACAACAGCACAGGTGTTGCAGTAAGCATGGGAATTGATGCTATCTAATAACCATAAAAAGGAAGATGATATTTCAGTCTACTTTTAAAGACTTTCATGTCAATAACTGAAACTCAAACCACATCTCTCTGTCATTAAGACTATGTGTGGCAGATGAAGGAGAAATGCAAAAGATGGAGGACAGGAAAAGCCAACCTTTTCTCCTGATTAGATTAGTCCCATTTACTTTCTCCATATTGTCATGTTCAGTAGAGGCACACTTCAAGAAATGTTGAGTCTGGAAGTACAGACACCCAAGGGACAAAAAGTAGCAAATTTCAGGCCCCCTTGGTGTTCACACAGGTCACTGAGAACATAATTTCCCTTCTCCCCTGCAAAACACCGGGCACCACCACACCACAAACCCCACACTGTAGCTACTCCTTACCTGCAGAATTCAAAGGAAGCACTTACATCACTACTACTGTTGTCTGGCAGAGCGTAAAGGTCAGCCTCACGTTTCATTTAGAACACAAACATGACCTTTAGAATGGGATTTTAAATGACAGCAGAATCAAACCTTCCTGCTATCATAGGAAGTTCTGTCTCTCCTTATCTGAAGGCATTCCTCCCTGTTCTTGAGATTAAAAAAGAATAAACAAAAGCATTATCTGTGTCATATTCCATAGCTGCTCTTCATTTTCTGACCATTTTCATTGTTTCTTACACAGTGAAATGGGCACTGCTGGGAAAACTAGCAGAGTACAACTGCAGAGTTAACAAGGTGGAGCTAGTACCACAAGAAGGTTTTGTGCAAGAACACAAGAGAACAGCTTGTAATTGGCATGTAAACAGAGCTAGGAGTTCACAGAAACCACATAAACATTCATATTTACAAATGAATGTAAATGTCTAGATTATTATTAAGTTATGAATATAACCTCAGTTTTATATTTATATACAAAGAAACCTGGGTGTAGAACTTATTCTACTTATATTAAAAGCTAAAAAGTTTCCCAATTGCAATTGACTTTGGCCAGTTTAAATGTGATGCTGTGACTGTGTGGTCACTTGATTCCTTCAAGTGTTTCACAAACAAACCACCACCACCAAAACCAACCAAACAAAAAAGCCCCAAAATCAAACAAAAAAATTCACAAAACCAAACTCCCTCAAATTATATAAGTTTCCTTTCAGAAATTATAAACTAGCTCAGATCAAGAAGCAAATTATGCTGGAACCCTCAAAACTAAATCATAGCATGTCTCATTTCAAACCAATATTTAATGCCTGCAATATTCCATTGGCACTTGCGGTTTTCTGGAGTTTATTTTTTTTTTTAACTTTTTAACGTTGCCAAATTATACCGAATAATTAACAGTGTTTGAAAGTGACTGAATTTTTGACAGAAGAAAGTCAAACAGCTCTTTCTTTCTGTTATAAATTTGAATTTTGTTATAGTAGCCATAAGAAGGTTTCATTTTATATTTATGATACTTTGTACTTGTTACTTTGCTACTTTATATTTAATGATGCTCTCACAGCCCACTTTGCAAAGCTCTAGAGAATAGACGAAAGCAGTAATTCTCACTGAAGAATGTGTCTTAACTTTTCCTTCCACATAAAAATTGGGACTGGGAGGATGAGAGGGAGGGCAGAGAAGACTCAAAATTGGGGAAAAAACCCTAAAAAAACCCATAAAGCAATGTCCCAGTCATAGAACGGTTTTGGCCATGAGCCCTTCCAGAGAAAGGGCATCCACGGCTTCCCCCAGCAGTAAACATTACAGAAAAAATGCCATTGCACAAAGGGCAATTTTTCTAATCTTAATTTCTTCTCATTCTCCATGAGACTGAGCAGCTTTTGCCATGCTGACAGCATGGTTCTTTCTTGCTATTTTTTCATATCCCTTAGCATCACTTTTCTTTAGTACCCATAAACTGTCCAGATTTCCCATTAGGTGGTGATACAGCAATATTCTCAGTGCCAGAGAAAAGGTCAGAAGTGTATTTTCAACTATAAGTCATCCTACAAAAGATCAAAGAACATTAATTTGACCCTGCACGCCTAATGCTGTGCCTTCATTTGTACAGTTTTACCAGCTATTTTTATTCACAATTACCCACCAGACCCAGAACAACTGCACAAAGATCAAGTGCAGTAAAATGAGTGAAATTCATCTGTAAATGCAGCTTTCATCAGCTGTGAGCACTGGTGTCAGTAAAACCAGATCACTGGAACTCAGTGCAGGCTGTGGAAAAGAAAGCACAGCTGTAATTTGGTGCTCACAATCTTTATAGCTACTTGTAGTATCGATGAAGCTTGATTATAGGTTGAATCTTTAATTCTGGCAGCTGAAGAAAAGACTCCATTGGCTACAGAAACAGACATAAAACCCGAGGGCATTTCCTAGTGCCTTTTTAGTATAGGTTTGCTAGTGATTACAACATCAGCCTCAAGCACTTATTTCCTGCACTTGGGCAAGTATTTGTCTCATTATTTATGAAAATAATTTCAGTGCCATCTCAGCCATTGCAGCCTCAAGGCTGGTTTGATTTTCCACCTACAGCACACAACACCTCCAAGCAACCTCATTCCACATCGTCATGGCAGGGAACAAGACACAGTGAGAGGGCAGAGTCCCCATGAGCCTTCAGCATCTTCCTTTGGCTCTTGCACTCCTGCTCAGGGGCTTCACCACTACAGTGCCACTGCCAGAACAAAGACAGAACATTTTACCCTCTGGTTAAGTATTAGCAATTCTCATTCACCTTGTTAAATTTTTATTCTATAAGAAAACATGTTTTCCATCGGGTGCACACATGGTTAAAATAGAGTTTGTGCCTGCCCACTGGAAACAGATCTCATAACCTTGTGTTTCTGGATCTCTTTGGGATTTTGCAATTCAACACAGGTTCTATAAGATAAAACCCCATTTCCCTTGTTTCATTTTTTTTTTCCTGTATAGAAAAGGAAAACAGATCATCCACCTTAACTTATTCAACAGACACTTAAAAAGAGTTCTATAAACTGATCCACCTGCCCTAATTGCTGCACAGTTTTATGTCCTGCTGCATCATGGCAAAGTATGAGTTTATCTGACCCAAACATATTGAAGCAACTCCTTAGGGAGGAAAAAAGAAAGTGTGCTGGCAAGCTTAATTACGTATAGACTTTTCTTAAGTCAACACAAAACAGTCTTTTCCATCTCACCCTTTTCCAACTTGTTCCACACTGATGCACATCTTTAATAACATGAACACATGAATACTTCTTGAATCCATTAAGGGTCTAAATTGTAATTTTTAACTACAGTGAATTATGGAAGCTATGCTTGAAAGTGTTCAGTTCTATCCCTGCTTTACAACAAATTCCTTGAAACAATAAATCTTAAAAACAGGGAAGAGAAAACAAGTAGGCAATTGCTTTTCTAAATACTGTTTTCTCTAGAGTTTCTTTCTTCACTCAGTAGTGAACACAGCTGGAAAAGTGATGCTTCTAATGTTTTCATAAATAACAAGGGTTTGTAATTAGAGTAGTTCACATCTGTGTTTAACAAGGGAATCACTTTCCACCAGCCCTCCCTCCTCCTCACCCAGAGAATTCCTCTTACCTTCTTCACTTAAAAATGAGCTGCTTTCAGCTATAATTTCCTTTTACTGCATGCTTCCCCCTACCTTTATTTCCTTGAAGCTTGAAACACTAACATAGAGACCTCAGCAGCTGAGATGCATTACACACTTTTCTAATATACAGCATCTGATATTAACATTAGCTTTGCCAACAACACCCAGTGGAACGTCCCAAACTGCTTATAAACACAGCTATATCTGCAGGGCAGGAATAAATGGAAAACAGTCCTCTATTTAAACGGCCGATTGAGGGATAACATAGAGCAGCATTAACTCCCAACACAGGATAGTTTCTTTGCACACAAAACCTCACAGGGACAGATGGTCACCATCAGAAGAGGTGAGAGCAAAGGCCTTGAGGGGAAAAAAAAAATAATCTATCGTGCGCTTGGCGCCACAGGCGTACACCCAGCTTAAATCACAACAAACCTTTAGGAAGCAGAATTGCCTACCCTTAGGGTAACCTTACGCTCCCAGGCAGGTAGGAAGGACTCGGGGTGAGGCTGGGGTGACTTTAGAAAGGAGCCAAAGCCACCCCTCAGCGCTCCCTCAGGGCCGCGGCTTTCAAGGGAACGGCGCGCGCCGCTCCCGCCCCGCCCGCCCGGCCCTGATTGGCTGCGGCGGCAGGGCGGGGCGGGGCCGCGGGTGCCGCGTCATCCGGGCGGGTCACGCGGCCGCGCGCTGCTCGGGGGCAGCTCGGTCCGGCCCCGCCGCGCTGTCAGCGCGCTCTCTGAGGAAGGTACCGGGGGAATGGCGGGGGAAGCGCTGGTGCTGGGCTGTCAGGAGACGTGGGTAGGGCAGAGCTCCCCCGCCGTGCCACAAGGCACCCCCGTGCCCCTCGGAGCCCCCCGCGCCCGCCCTCCGGCCCCGCCGCTATCGAGGAACGGGCCCCGCCCCCGGCCCTTCCCGCGCTCCCATTGGCCGCGGCGGGGGTCACGTGGCCGGCGGGGGGCAGTTGGAACCGGTTGGGGCCGCGCCGCCCCGGGCCCAGCCCGGCGGGAGGGACGGAGCCCGGGCCGCGCCGCCCGCAGCCCCGCCACAGCGAGCGGGAGAGCCAGCGGGGCTGGGAGCGCTCCAGCAGGTCTGTCGGACCGCCGGCTGCGTGTCGCGGTGGCGGAGGGGGCGGTCGGTGCAGCGGTGGAGCCGGCTCTGTTCGAGCCCTGTGCGGAGAGGGCGCTGAGGGAGCGGTGCCGCGCTCCCCGCAGCACCGCGAGGCCGCTGCGTTATCCGAGGGGAGGAGCGCGTCGTTCGCGGACCACCGGGACGGCGCCGCAGGTTCCGTGAGAGGCGGGAGGAGCGGCGCCCGGGGGCGGCGGGGGTGCCGTGCCGGGAGCGCTGCGGGCGTATCCCGCTCCCGGCGTGTCCCGGGCTGTCACCGGTGGGTGCTCGGGCAGGGGAACGCGGGGCCTACGGCTGTGTTTGTTTATGCCGCCGCCCGAGGCCCTGGCCGGTCCCGCGGTGCCGCATTATGCAAGCGGCCGCGCCGGGGCGGGCCCGGGACGTGGCGCGCCGCCTCCCGGCGCGGCTCCCGCTGCGGGCCGGGCCGTGCGGGGCGGCGGGCGGCCCTCGGTCCGTGTCCGGTGTCCGGCCGGGCCCTGCGGGGCGGCGGGCAGCCCTCGGTCCGTGTCCGGTGTCCGGCCGGGCCCTGCGGGGCGGCGGGCGGCCCTCGGTCCGTGTCCGGGGTCCGGCCGGGCCGTGCGGGGCGGGGGCAGCCCTCGGGCCGTGTCCGGTGTCCGGCCGGGCCGTGTGTCGGTCCGTGTCCGGCGGGCCGGGCACGCTGCGGCGCCGCTGGGCTGTGGCGGGCGTGGGGGTGTGCGCTGTGCTGTTCTTTGTCTCGGCTCTGCGCTAAAGGAGCACAGCGGTGATGCTGCCGGCTCCTGGTTGGGTGTTACTGATAGCAGAGAAGCTAATGAGGTAGCTCTAGATTAAGCTGAACTTTACAGATTAATCTGTTACCTCCACGTTAACCACGCACAGATTCGTTCTTCCATTTTCCCCTTTTTCCTTTTCATTTAATAGCTTGTCTTGTTAGTATCAGTGTTTTAATTTATCACAGCACCTAGTGTTAGATGGATGTTAACCTTCAACATATATAAAATGGGTGAAATAGTTGATAAGTAGAATTATTTTTATCACATATATTTCCATTCTAGCACTGCTTCCTGTAAAATAACTGTATCAGATGTTAAAAAAATAGGAGATTGCAGTTAGTCTTGAATAGACACTAGTAGCCCAAGCTGCCATGTAATTAGTCTTTGAGTAAAGCACTTTTCCCCTCAACAGAATGGATCTAGGCTTTGGAAACCTGTTAAAAATGTGGTTTGTTGAGAGCTGTGGGGAGCATTGTACATGCTATTTGTCCAAGTCATTCCTATGTGAGGAATGTTAGTGTGATCACAGAGAGCTAAATTACTGCCTGCCTAAGATCTTGTCAGCCGTACGTTAATAATAAGCAACACTTCAGAAAAGAGGAATCAGACTGACACTGCTCTGTCTCACTTACAAACGTGCCCCGGCTGCTTCCTGCCTGTTTCAAGAACTTCGCAAAACTGCTGTGGCACAGCTGAGGCAGAAGAGTCTGTCACATGGACAGGTAAATGCCAAATGCTGAAACAATTAACTTATTGTTATTTAAAACAACGCAGATATATTGTGGGTGAACGTGGCCCTGCAGATGGGGAGCTAAACTGATACTGAAAATACAATTCTCAGGATACAGTGATGTAATTTCAGAGGTATCACTTGAGGTTTGCTGCTTTCTAAACGTCAGCATAAGCCTGCTGGTAAAATCTCAGCCTTTGAATCAGAGCAGCATGACCAGATCTTCCGTGCAAGTTAGTTTGCTGTCCAGTGTCAGCACTGCAATGCAGGGGAGACCTGCTGACTTTGTCCTTGCTCCTGCAGTCAAGGTGCAGGGGGAGGAAAGGAGGGGGCAGGAAGAACCCTCTTGTTTGGTTGAACATGAAGGAGTTGATGCTGTAATACTGTTTCTAAAAATTCTCTCCCAATTGTTAGAGGGAATGCTCTGACAAATATATCCTCTGATGTTGTTCTAAAACCCAGGTGTCGTCAACCAGTGTTACGTAATTTTCTTGCATGTCTAATTTGTTGCTTCAGATGTATTCTCTAATATCTGATACCTTTTTAGGACCAACCACAAGCAACAAAATCTGTTCATCATACTACAAGATTAACCATATACCACTTGGTATCTTTGGAATATCACAGCCTGTGTCTTAGGCTCATGTTCCTTTGTTCAGCACAGCAGTAGAGCTCATGCATGGTGGATTTTCTATTCCTGTGTGTAGCACATCTTTTAAGAAGGTAAAATCTGAGCACCTTCTCCAGCAGTGCTGGGCTGTGTTCACATTCATGGTTCATGAGGGAGGCTGCAAGGAGTGCTCTGTGTCAGCCCCAGTGCTGCCAGTGTGTCCTCCCAGCTGTCAGATGACTTGGCTGGGACTGTGACACCTTTCCCCTGCTTCAGCATGGAGTTGGGCTCCCCTGGGTGTTGTTACAGCTCATTAGTCTCTTCCCTTAAGGTGGAAAGTGTCAGCCCAAAATGACAAAAATAAAACCAAAAATACTCCAGCCTTCTCGTACTTGCTGATTTTATCTTTATATGCAACTCATGTAGAAATACTTTGAAATAATTGAGCATGTTTACTTTCAGGATTGTGCACTTCAAGGACTGTGCACCACGATCTGTGATGAAATTTGTGCTAGCATTATGAAAGAGCCTGTTTGTGCACAGCAGGTGCTGGTGGGTTGACCTGAGCAGCTCTGTCACTCCTCAGGGGGAGGAAAGTGCAAAAAGCCTCAGGGGTCAAGGTAGAGGCAGTTCATTCAGGAAGAAATAATTTATGTATAAGCAAAGGGAAGCAGAAGATTTTATTCTCTGCTTCCCCATTAGAGAAGCTAGGTTTCAGTATGGATAGGAGATGCTCTGGAAGACAAATGTCTTCAATAACAAATGCCTTTCATTCTTTTAGTTTTTTTGGTTTTTTTTAAATCTGTCAATCTCTGAGCAGATGCCCCAGGATAAGGAATGTCCCTTTGGTCAGCTCGTGTCCCCTGTGCTGGCTGTGCCTCCTCCCGGGATGTTGCCCACCCGCAGCCTCCTGGTGATGGTGAGGAACGCTGGAGAGACAGCGCTGGTGCTGTGTGAGCACAGCTGAAACTCTGGGTGTTACCCACGCCTTTCTAGCTGCCAGCACAAAGCACAGCTCAGGGAGAGCTGTTGTAGGGGAAATTACCTCCATCTCAGCCAGACCCAGTACAATGGGCGTCCTTTTTCTGCAGCTGACTAAGCAAATTCAGTCATAGAGCAAGCAGAAGTAATCTTACACTAAATATCAGATGTTTGAAAGTACTAAAATGCATTCCGGGAGTTTTGTGGCACCTGTGTTCTTAGTTGCCTCATTTTAGTTATCTAATTACCTTAGAAAAATCCCATTAAGTACCTATAAAATTTATTATTAAAAAAAGTTTAAAAGATACTTTGTAAGCTGTATTTTTCCATCTCATTGGAAAAAAATCTGGGCTGTATATTATCCTGCCATTTCTAAATATAATGTCACCCAAGAGAGTTTTGAGTTGTTAGCTTTCCATGAGAAATTTTTATTATTAGTTTATTAGATAGAGCTTGCTGACTTTTTGTGGGGAGAGAAGGGGAGAAATGTGACATTTTGATATGAGTCTGATGCTTTTCAGCTTTCTTACCAGCATGTTGCCAAATTCTGATTATCTTTAATGGGTATGCTAAGTGTGACCAGCCATTCTGCAACCCTTATGGTCAACTTGGAGTTGATAAAATAAGCTTTTCATTCATGTCTGTCAGGGTAGTTACTTGAAGTGTTCCCTGCCTAACTTTGAAAGCCCTCTGTCCATGCAACAAAGTTCAAGGCCTTCAGGCTTGTAAGTCTCCACAGTTAAAAAAAAAAATCCCATTGTCCTTCAAGCCTGCTCTTGGACCACTAGTCTCAAAGCCTTAAAACCTGTTCAAGTTGCTATTAAAAATATTGTTTGCAATGGGTAGAGACCAGGTAACCTGGCTGCATGGGTACTGTGAATTTTTATGACTCTGGAATTTGTTCAGTGTTTGTCAGATAGGCTCTGAGTGCCTCAGATTACCTGGTGTGTATTTAGCTAATCCTGAAAAAACATGTAAGATACGGTACAACAAGCAGCCAGCACCTCTTTAATCATATTGGAAAGGTCAGGGGGGTTAAGGGTGGGGCAGAATAATCCACTAAAGCTGAAGGCTTGTGAAGGGTTTTAATATATCACCAGACCTGTAAGCCAGAAGGTTCAAATGATCTTTAAGATTTTAATTAATAAATTATGTCCCTGCCCTGGTATATTTTTAACTACAACCAAAAAATATTTTGATCTTCCCCATGCACGATGACCCTTATTATCTCATGTTAGAGGAAATCTATGATACTTTGTGGCACTTTAATAGTTGATTGTATTATGTCATCTTTTCTTTCTTACCTGCATTTTCTAGAAGCCCTCTTT